TAGAATCAAAGGACAGATAAAGAACTTCCCAGACCAGAAAAAAAATACAGGAGTTCATCACCACCAAACCTGTTTGAAATACTATAATGTGGCCTTTTAAAGTGCAGAGACAGCAGGGTGTACATCATATACTCTCCTCAGGACCATGCTGGTGGATGTGAAATTGCCCCTCCCCCCACACCAGGATATTCACTTTTGCTTCGTTGAAATATTTATATGAGAAGCACTTCTGAAGCAGGAGAAATAAAAAGCAACTGTGGCAACCAAATTAACACCATCCTTCCACTTCCTACCCGAGGCCCTTCCTACCCCGTGTGTGAGGAGGTAGAAGGATGCTGCTGAGGGTTTGCGTTATTAGAGGCTTTTTTGAGTTGTATGCATGTGCCTTTGTCCACCTCCCAGGGTCTGTGGCTCTCCTTCTCTCCATTAATGGCTGAAAGAATGCTCACGTTTAATACATTTATGAAGCCACTTTCACAGCCACCCCATCGTCCTGCCTCAACCCCTGGCTAGCTGTCTACTCCATAAATCCCTTTGCCAACTGGGACTAAGAATACTGTACATACAGAGCCACCTTTGTGGCCCCCAATAGGGGTCTTTTCGTTTCACCCCAGTGGTGTGAACTATGAAGAAAGTGGCCATGCATGCTGGATTGCACCTGCCCTATGGTCCCAACATGATTATGAACAGAGCCGCCTTGTATTCTGCAAGCATCCTCAACTGAGCCATACGTCAAATGATCACCCTCGCCATCAGTGTACACCCATAGGGCACCCATCGGTGGCATTCTTTAGCCAGTCTCAGACAAGCTGAGTGATGATAGCACAGCTTTCTTTTTGGTGCCACATAAGGAAACAGATGATCTCACCGAGTACACAGATCATAGGAGAAAAGCCACAGACAGTTAGTAGTCCCCTGTGGGTCATTGTTCATCTCAGTGTCGAGCTAGCACTCATGACGGTGTCTCACGCCGTCCGGAAAGTGATTTACGCAGCCGGGCTTCGAGTTATGGGATTACAGCACTGGGGACAGTTGGGAGGGAGAGGGGGCGTCCAAGTGATCGTTACCCCTGTCACTCTTCCTTCACATCAACCTGAGGCCTGCCTCACTGGGGAGAGGCTGCAGTTTCTGTTATACCTCCCAGGTGGTCCTAAAGCATAGGGGTAGTGGAGGGAGAATGGAGAGGGAGAGTTTTGGTTGATCTTTAAGCCAAACAGGACACAGCTCAGTTACCTCATTTCACTCTCTGTGTGCTCAGACATTTCTAATGGGCTGGCTTATCTTCACTTTTGCAGCCTGAGTGCAGAGAGGGAGGCGGGGCAGGGGAGAAGCAAATACATTTAATTTTAAAATGTTTTCTTGAGTTCAAACAATTAAGAGCCTTTGAAAATCTTTTAGAAGATGATTAAAGTTAGAACTATGAACTCAATCTGAAATATTCTTATTGAACTAAAAATGATGCTATTAATTCAAGTGATAACCGTTGTTTGTGCTGGGTTTTCCGTATGTGTACATAACCCAAGTGTGCTGATTCGTTTTCATGCTGGTGGTTTGTAGGAGTCTTTCTGACTCATCAGATCTAGATAGAGTCAAACCTCATGCCCGGGACTAGGGATTGTATAAAGCCTTAGCAAGAGCTCAGTGACTCATTGAAGGCTTATCTTTCTCATTCTTCCCACTGTGCCTATAACAATGCTTATATTTAATTTCCACAAAACCGCTTCCCAAAGGCATTTGGGTGTAGAGCCCACTTTACTGAAGACTTGGGGGAGCGAGAACGGGATTTACATCATAGATAAAGCAAGTTAAAGTTGGATACTGACAAAAATCCTGGGCAGCCCTGGCTGGTGTGGCTCAGTTGGCTGAGTGTCATCCCATGCACCTTCAATTCCCAGTCAAGGCACATACCCAGGTTTGGGGTTCAATCCCCAGTCAACATGCGTACAAGGGGCAGCCAATCCATGTTTCTCATATCTGTGTCTCTCTCTTCCTTTCCCTTCATTTCTCTCTAAAATAAAAAAATAAAAATAAAAATTTTTAAAGTCCTGGGCAATGCTGGAACTGACCTGGAACCTCCCACATGTCAATTGACACTCCTTTCTCTCTTTTTCCTTCCTCCCTTTCAGGGATTATTCTCTCTTTATTCTGCTCCCTCCCTCTCAGGGTGTAAAATCAACCTGTCCAAATTTTTTTCTTTATTTTTAAATTTAGTTTTTAATGCAACACAGTTAAGCTGTTACCAGCTCCAAGAGCTAAATAAGGTTTGGTGCTTCCACTTCAAGGAATTCATCTCATTAGAATTGATCCCTTGGGAGGTCCCTTCTGCCTAAACTCTGCCAGTCCTTCCCCCTCATCTCTGTCTGGAGGCCAGCATGGCTGTGGAAGAGGAGTGTTCTGGGTACCACATGCAAAATCATGGCTTGGGCCCAGTCAGGGTTTGAATCCTGACTTCTCTGCTTCCTGGCTGTGTCACGTAGGGTAAGTTACTTAACTTTTCTGAGCCTGTTTTCTTACCACTGAAGTGGGAGATAATTTTACTTTTTTGCAAGTTGTACAAAGGATAAAATTGAATAACACACAACTAGTGCAAAGGATAAAATGAAATCACACTTCTATAGTACCTGGCTCCATGCAAACGCTCAACAAATGTTAGTTTCTTTTCCTTTCAATGGATAAATACTTTACATTATTTATTTATAAATTGCATAATTCAGGGAAAAAAAGAGACTTGAAAAGGAATCCGGATTTTTTTGATGAAACAAATAATCCTCTCCGCTTGTCTTTGCTGCATATCTGTATTTTTATATGCAGCACGGGGTCTGCTTATGATGTTTGTCGGCAATACTCAGCACAGGGAGACTTGGTGGAAACCAAGCTCTCTTTGCAGCCTCATAGAAGTTGGAAATATTAGTGATTGATGGCGTGATGTGAGGTCACCTAAGTGCCTGAGACCCAGAGCTGCTCCTGAGGTATTATGCCCAGGTGGGCCCATCAGCGCTGAATAGATAATGAGGAGATAAACACTAGTTAGGGCCTGTTGCTGGGTCTGGTGGCACTCACAGCGAAGGGAAAATGGATGTTTTACTAGCAGAAAGGACTCGCCATCTGTCTTTTCTTTACAGCAGAACAGAGCAGAGCCCCTGATGATTGTTGTCAATTAGGCCGATTTAAACCATTGGCAAATTCAGCCTGTATGCACCCCATGCAGCTGGATTTTAAATTCTGGGGTGCCAGGGTTTATGTTAGAAACAGTGGCCAGCATAGTATTTCATGTTCTTAGAGAAAGGAAAGAATCGACTAAAGATTTAACAAAAGGGGATTTTTTTCCATTATCCAGTCAGTTGTGCAAGGGCAGGCCAGATCCAGCCCACAGCCTGTTTTTGTGCAACATGTGAACTAAGAATGGTCTTTGCATATTTAAGCGTTTGTAAAAGGAAAGGATAAATATGCAACAGAAACCATACGTGCCCCAAAAGCCTAAAATATTTATTATCTAGTGCTTTATGGAAAATGGTTGCTGATCCCTGGTCTAGAGAGTTTGAAATATCCCAGGCTCATAAAGGCAACGTATAAGGGTGATTCACTTTTTCACTTGTGATCTGATTTTGTGGCAACCATGTCTGTTTTAACAAAGCTTAAAGGGCATTATTTAAGGATAAATACAGGGTGTCCCCCCCAAAAATGTATACCCACTTTAATAGCTGTTATCTCAATTTTGAAAATGAAATGTATTTTAATAAACACTGCCTTTATAATTATTCAAAGTATGTGTATACATTTTTAGGACACCCTATATAATCACATGTCAATATTGTGTCTTGGGGAAGGCCTAGGGTGGGGCGGAGGTTGGGTGGAAGGGGGGAAAAAAGAGAGAAAATGGAAAACATCTGCAATACTGTCAAATAGAAATATATTAAATATATATATTTAATTGCATCTTGTAGGCTCCACCTGGGTTATTCCAGGAACAGGATCTCTAGTTGTTCTAGAAGTTGCTCTATGTCTGTCACCTCCCTCTGCAACTCCCACCTGTCCCTTCCTGGCCCCAGCTCACCTGTTTGCTCTTCCTCCCTGCTCTCCCCTCTCCTCTGGCCTGAAAGAGGTTGGCCGGGTCCAGCTTAGAAGGGCTGCTGAGAGATTTTCACTTTATTCTGCACAAACCTCCCGGAAAAAGCAGACCCGGATTAGACCCTGAAGTCTGAGCACGCTCGGGGAGGGCGTGGGCAAAGGCCCAGGAGGGTGAGGGTCTGTCTCATGGAGTGTCCTGCCCAGGCTGGAGGACTTAAGGGGTATGGGACTCCAAATCCAGTAGGTCAGTAAGGAGTGACTGCTGTTTATTTTGAAAAGGAGCAATATGTGTCTGTGTGTTGGGGGAACAGTGAAATGACATTGGCTGTTAGTTAAACCCTGACTTGGTGGAGGGCATTGAGCTAAGTCCATTACATGGGACCATTTCATTTCATCCTCCCCACCAGAGTGTGGGGAAGGTATTAGCATCTCCAGTTTTCCAAGGAGGAGAGTTAGGCTTAGAGAGGTTAGAGTAGCTTCCGCAAGGGAGGGTGGTCTGACCTAGTAGCCCAAGCTCTTACCTCCTGTGCTCCTGAAACAAGCTCAATGTAAGACTTTCTAACAAACAGAAAAGAGTCAAAAGCAGCAGAAAGCCTGTCTTTCAGGAATGACCGATTTGGGTGACAATCTTTAGACAACTCTTCTATGTCTTTGCAAAGCAATCTGTATGCAATTTGCATAACCCAGGGCTGGGTTGCATAAACCTGTGCCTACAAATTTGACACAAATGGCACCATTACTCTATACCCTAACTTTCTCCCACTCACACACATTTTCTCGTTTTAATTAGTGGGTGTGTAGGGTTTCTCTTTGTGACTGTACCCTCATTCACGTAACCAGTCCCCTGTAGATCACTGCAGGTTGTTGAGCAGGAAAATTCTTTTCCTTTAACTTTTTTAACCGAGCCTCACGCTCTCTCACTCTCTTTGCAGCATGCCCTTGACGCTGACAACGCAGGAGTGAGTCCAATAGGAAACTCCTCCAACAACAGCAGCCATTGGGACCTCGGAAGTGCCTTTTTCTTTGCTGGAACTGTCATCACCACCATAGGTAACCGTTTGCTTGCCACTCTCGCTTCCTCCGCAGGCCATCCTGAGGGATGGCGCTTGTCAAACTTCTGTCCTCGCAGAACACGTGGCAGCGTAAGGCTGCAAGGAGGCTTATGAAACACTGTCACATGAATGCAGGGGTCGTCGTGGCTTTCGATGAAAAGGCAAAGAGGAATGAAGAACTGCACCTGGTCGGGTAGCTTAGTCGGTTAGAGTGTTGTGGTAATAGCCAAGGTTGCGGTTCAATGGCCTGTCAGGGCACATGCAAGAATCAACCAATGAATGCATGAATAAGTGGAAAACAAATCTCTCTCTCTCTCTCTCTCTCTCTCTCTCTCTCTTTCTCTCTCTCTCTCTCAAAATCATTTAAAAAAAATGAACCAGTCTGGCCAGCATGGCTCAGTGGTTGAGTGTCAACCTATGCACCAGAAGTCATGGATTTGGTTCCAGGGCAGGGCACATGTCTAGGCTGTGGGCTCAATCCTCAGTGTGGGGAATACAGGAGGCAGCTGATCAATGATTCTCTCTCATCATCAATGTTTCTATCTCTCTCCTTCTCCCTTCCTCTCTGAAATCAATAAAAATATATTTTTTTTAAAAAACAAACAGTGAGAGACTCAGGAGCTTTTAGTTTGAAAGGACCTCATGACAAGGTTAGAGTGAAAAAATCCAAATATGAATCAGGCAGTTGAACTCAGATTGCTTGGTTGTGCTCAAATTCCTTTTTAAAAATTGTACTTTTGCCCTGGCTGGCTTGGCTCAGTGGATAGAGCGTCAGCCTGTGGACTGAAGGGTCCCAGGTTCGATTCCAGCCAAGGGCACATGCCTGGGTTGCGGGCTCGATCCCCAGTGGGGGGCATGCAGGAGGCAACCAATCAATGATTCCCTGTCATCATTGATGTTTCTATCTCTCTCTCCTTCCCCCTTCCCCTCTGAAATCAATAAAAATATATTTTTTTAAAAATTGCACTTTTTATTAAAGTTATATATGAAAGAACCATATAAATGTTCTAGAAGGTTTGTTTATGAAAAACAGCAGTTTTTCACCTCCCCAGGGCAACCACTTTATGCTCTTTTGCTTGGTTATTTTGATATTTATCTCCATGACTCTGAATATCACACTCATGTAGCCACTTCCTGAATGTTCAGGTTTTAGGGATTATGTCTTGACTTCCTGTGGTGGAAGGTGAGGAGTTAGTTCTCTTTCATCCGCTCCACTGGAGACGGCTCTCTTCCCATCCTCCTGTCCTCCCACTGTCGTTTAATTAGATCAAAAGTGAACATTTGCATTTCTTGGACTAGATAAATGCTCTTCACAACTGATCATATGGTGATCTATAATTACTTCTTTCCTGCAGCAATTTTTGTTGTGTAATATTTGCGTGTCTCTGATACTGGGGGAGTTTTGTATTTTTATCTTAGGGATTAACTTTATAATTACAATAATATATAACAACTTAGTGTTCTAATCTTTTAGCAATATCTAATATTTCCCTATTATGGACAATGACATCGCCCTCTGGACACCATCCTTTTAATGTTTACTTTTAAATTATTAAATATACTTCAGCTGATTTTCCCTCTTTAGATGTATGATACCTCTTGGCTCGCAGCTATAATATAAGGTGAACTTAGCATCCTCCTCCTTTCCCTCTTCCACGATCAATTATTACTCTGTGTCATTCTATAACATTGGGGTATATCATTTACATTCTGGTCTGTTCTCCTGATACATTTATTTTAGTTGTAGTTCTCAGTTAAATGTCGTCAGTATTCATCTCTAGTCTTTTTTGCCATGGTTTTCCTCATCCTCACCCGATTGGCTGTAATTCAGCTTCAAATGGTTGCCTTAAGAATGGCTCATGGGAGTCATATTCCCTAGGGTATTGTGTTGTTCAAAATAACTTTCCCCTTGAATGGCAGTTTGGCTGGAAATGAAATCCTGACTCCCATGTTTTTCAAGGTGTTGTAGGTGTTTCGCTCTCTTCTGATGTTTATGCTGTTGTGGAGAAATCTCATGTCAGCCCAATATTTTTCCCTTTTGTAAGTGACTTGATGTTTTGCTCAGCTATGCAAAAGATTATGTCTTTATCTTTCATCTGATAACACTACTCAGTTTTGTTCCTTTGATTTTAGGAAAGTTTTCTTGATTGTCATCTCTAAACGTTTTCTCTGTTGTATGGTTTTAGTTCTGTCCTTTGGGGATTCCAACTACACATATATTATCACTTTTCTGCCTGTATTTTATGTCTGTAACTTTCCTCTGTGCCTTTTTAACGCTTACGATTTGGTTCTCATTTTGGTAATTTTATCCTCTCCATTCCTTTTTTGTGTGTTCTTCACAGTGCCTATTCTGCCATCTGTTCCTTCCAATTTTATTTTCATTTCATGATCATTAGTGGATTTTTTTTCCTTCCTATTTCTTTCCTGAATTCCATTAGCTCCCATTTCGTCTTCACTAGTTATCCCACTACTATTTTCCTAATTTCTTGCATTGCTGCTTTGTGGTTTCTCTGTGAAAACGCTTCGAGGCGATGACTTCATAGTTTGTTACAATTTTGTCTGGTTGGGGCGACATTTTTCTACTGAATGTCTTCTATTCTTTGGTAAGTTTTGCTGCTCTTTTCACATTCTTTTTAAAAAATGGAAGCTTAATATTTATGCTGGGCCAGGTTTTTGTAAAATACTTGACACTGAACAAACTGGATCTTCCTGTACCAGCTCTCTGCTGAATGTTAAATGCGGCTGGGGAGAGGGGAGCAGGGAGAAGCAGGTAGCTAGCTGTTCAGGTCGCACATCCCAAGGCTCTCCTTTCCTGCTGCCAAAGAGACGGCAGGCCCATCTGTGTTCTTCTATGAATAGTCCTGCCTCATCTGTTTTTTGGACCAGATTAAGGCGGGAGGGTTGCAGGGCGGGAGGGGGACTCGGAGTGGGGAGGCTTAAGCTGCTCTCCCTCTTCAACCTATATCCACACCTACTGCAAACAAAGATATCTCTTTCGAAGTTCAAGGTGACACCCTTGCCGTCATAATTGGATGTTTGCTGGCACTTTGTGAGATTTGCAACTGATGGGCTCTTTTATCCTTCTCTGTATTTCTTCTGTTTATTTTCTTTTCCTACATGGTGGAATTGCTAGGTGCTATCCCTCTCCCAGCTCTGCTGAAAATGAGTTTGACAGGTATCTTCCCGGTTACAATAGTGAAGTCAATAAAAATTCTCAGTCAAAAGAATGGGAAACGCACAGCAGTGCCCATCCATAGAAATGAAGGGCAGGCATTGGGAGGCCCCTCTGCCCTTGCAAGGGGAGGGTTCCTTCCTTAACACCTGCAAGGAGCCCTCCCATCTGCTGCTCTCTGAGTCCAGCTATGCCACGGGGAGGCTCTTCTCCCCCTTGTCCTTCATGACCACATGTTAAGTAGGTGCCTAAGGGTATGCCTCCCTTGGGGGGGTGCACAGCTTTGGTGATCAACTTCTTATTGGTGTACGTTTAGGAGGCTAAGGGTTGTTTTAGAGGCACCGCATTTTGTTTGTGTTTTTAGACCTAGCCTTTAGGACCGGTGGTGTTTCTACATTGGCGCAATCAAGAAAGTTATGTGCCGTAAGAAAATTTGGAATGAAAGAGAATTGTTCTTTTTTAAAAGACTCTTCATCTAATTATATGTCAGAGTAGATTCACACTTGCAAATCTGCTTATCCATTAAGATCAGCTATTACAGATATTAGAGGTGTGCGTTACACTAGGGCAGTGATGGCGAACCTTTTGAGCTCGGTGTGTCAGCGTTTTGAAAAACCCTGACTTAACTCTGGTGCTGTGTCACATATAGAAATTTTTTGATATTTGCAACCATAGTAAAACAAAGACTTATATTTTTGATATTTATTTTATATATTTAAATGCCATTTAACAAAGAAAAATCAACCAAAAAAAATGAGTTCGCGTGTCACCTCTGACAAGCGTGTCATAGGTTCGCCATCACTGCCTTAGACAGTGGTTCTCAACCTTCTGGCCCTTTAAATACAGTTCCTCATGTTGTGACCCAACCATAAAATTATTTTCGTTGCTACTTCATAACTGTAATGTTGCTACTGTTATGAATCATAATGTAAATATCTGATATGCAGGATGGTCTTAGGCGACCCCTGTGAAAGGGTCGTTCAACCGCCGTAGGAGTCCATGGTACTTATTGTGTCAACTCCTTAGGAATCAGGGGCTTGGTTTCTTGAACAACTGTGTTCATTGGCCCATATGACCTTATGTGATAAAGGAATGGTGTTTCTAATGAGAAATATTTGATATGTAACATTTCCTGCCTTTTTTATATGCCACTTATAGAATCTTTGAGTTTGTGCAAATGACACGTAGTCCTTGGTTTCTGATGCCTGGCATCCATTTACTTATTCTGATAACCATTTCCCCAATGGTCCTCTTCCCCTCTCTTGGCCTCCAGGTCTCAGGGGAAGAATCACCTTGTCTAGACTAAGAAATCCATTACTTTGCACCTGAGTGACCATTGTCCTTAGTTAAGAGATGGACATGAGATCTCTTAACTCATTAGGATTAGCCCAATAAGAACCTCAGTTCCTGGACTGTTACTTGACCTTTGGAGGAAGTGACTTCCTGTCTTACTGGAGGTAAATCTGGAAAAAGAGGCCCAGGCCCCTGTCAGTCATTTTCTTGAATTGCTATGCCTGGAACTCAGCTAAAGAAGCAGAGTAAGAAATGGGGAGTGAAAAACAGGGTTCTTTTCACATTTTTTGAGCTTTGGATGGAGCTATCTGTGAAGTGTTACGAAATAAATGCTAAATCTCCTGTTAACCAGGCTCCATGCATTTCCTTTTCTGCCTAAGCCAGCCTGCATCGGGTTTTCTATTACCCAGCACTGAAAAATACTAACTAATACACATGTATGGGTCAGAGATCATGGAGGGCCAGACAGTATCCTCTGACCTTCATGGCCAGGGCCTGACCTTGCTGGACACTGCTGCTGCCATCGCCTACCT